GTGTGTGTGTGTGTGTGTGTGTGTGTGTGTGTGTGTGTGTGTGTGTGAGAGAGTATGAGTGAGAGAGCGAGAGAGAGTGGGAAACAGTAGAATGAAACACCATTTAATCTGGAGGAAAGAAGAATGATTTCCTCACATCTGAATTCATGTTAAATTTAAGCACACACACACACACACACCGTAACTGTTGTTTACTGTTTCCCATTGAGCCATTTGTTGGTAAATGAGATTGTATTTACAGTACGGGCCAATAAAAGTGAGCATGAGAGGTGTTTCACAGGCAAATAATGGCTTTATTGCCACCAGAGGCGTTTTGTTGTCATTGCTGGATGAGGTCCAATTAGTAACAATGTGTCAAAGATGAGCCAATACTGAGTAGTTGAGAATACAGAACTCATATTACAGATCCATATTATAAGGTTGAGCCCCAGATTCATTTATTTATTCATTTTTTACCTGAGGACAAATTTCGATGGGGGGGGGGAAACCCTCTCAAAGAACCAATCTAGCACTCCCTTGAGTCGGGACAATTTCTAGTGTTGTGCAGAGAACTTTTGATGGTCCATTAGGTCCCATAGGGAGGGACACCACGAGCAACTTCAGAACAAGCTCTGCGCTGCTAGAGAGAAGTGCTACAAAAAAAAGAAGCTGAGCAGGAAAATAAGAGGAGAAATAAATAAATAACACTGAAGATGAGCTCCGATGCATGAACTGGATCTTGACAATGGGGGGAATAAAGACAAAGCACAATGAATCAAAGCTCCGTGGTGAGCAAGACCGACTCACCCTGGACAATGCTTTCCTCTTATACTTGTTGGCGAAGTCGAATTTCTCCTTGATCTCGTCCAGGAGCTGCTCCATACGAACCTTCTCCTCTTTCCCCGAGTAATCCTGGCCCAAGAGGATGTACGCCCTCCAGTTGGCCGAGTCGAAGCCCCAGTGGCAAGTCCTGTTCTCCTGTGCCTTGTGACTGTGCACCACGAACTTGTGGGTCGGGTACATGAGTCTGCAGTCCATGCACTGGATGCACGCTGCGTTGGGGCTGCTGTACAGCTCCGGCACGAACAAGCCATTGCACTTGCCGAAACACTCGTGGTAGACTTTGAAGCTCCTCTCGGTGAGCTCCAGCTCCAGCGAGCCTCCGCTCAGCTCCTTCTTGCAGCGCGGCGGGTAGGCGCCTCCGTAGATCAGGGCGTTGCAGAGCCGCTCCGCGTCCGTCTTGGTGATGAGGCCGCAGGACGGCGCCGAGAAGGGCAGGATCCCCATGACTTTGAGGATCTCCAGCTGGTCCGCCGTGCACCGCGAGCAGTAGATGTGCAGGTCGTCGCACACCGAGTTGATCTGCTGCAGGGAGAAGTCCCGCAGCACCGTGTTGAGGATCTGCGGCAGGCACAGTCGCTTCTCCCCGCCGACCACGAAGCACGAGATGGTCTCACCCTCCAGCACCGTCTCGCACCTCTCCGTGGAGCGGTCCGACGGGATGAACAGCGGGCCCGGCATCACCGGCGGCGGCAGATGCTGCAGGACCGGCTCGGGCTCCTTACCCTCCTTCTTGAAGTGGAGCTCATGTTGCCACCGGGCAGAGAAAGCCGCCGGTCCACCAAGAGAGCTCATAGAGCTGATGTGAAACTGCTTGAGAGTTTGTTGCAGTCCCGGATGAGGCTGGAAGCTCTGCCGATTTACAGTCTCCATGTTTTTCCTTCAACTTTAGAAGCGTAAATCCTTCTAGTCGTCGACTGGGAATCACGAGTATCTATCCGTTTCTGAACCTGGTAAATCCACGGTGTCAAAGAACTGACCAAATTTGCGAAGCACTTCATCAAACATCCAGTAAAAAGTCCCAGAAGGCGAGTTTTCGGTTTTATTCCCGTGACTACAGAGTGAACACCGGCCAGTCGCTCCCTGCAGCGGGTCGCCGACTGTCCATATCTGAAAAAAACGTCTCTCCAAACTCAAGAGAAGCGAAAAGTTCTGTTTGTCGAATTCCAAAAAGAAGTGGGCGACAATTATAACAAAAGGGGGAGTTGTGAGTCGATAGAGCTCGATAAAACAATCCTTATTTGAGGTTCTTTCCGCTGTCGAGGAGGACTGTTGCAATCCACTCCGTCTGCCCCCGCAGTTCACTCTGACTGTGTGGAGAGGAGAAGTCTGAGAGCCAGCCTGCTCGCGCTCCCCCCCTCTCTCTCTCTCTCTCTCTCTCTCTTCCTCTCTCTGTCTCTCCCTCGCGCTCCGTCTAGGTCTCTCGCTCTCTCTCTCTCACGCCCTCCCCCCCCCCC